ACGGCCAGGGTTGGTGCTGTTCCAGATTCCTAGGTTGGGGAGTATTTTCAGTCTCCGCCTCGGGGGGGAAGAAGCAGGAAGAGCAGATGCCAGCAAGGAATCAGCTGTATCAGGAGGAGGAGGAGGAAGAGGAAGAGAATATGGTAAAGGCAGCAGAGGGGGAAGAGCCTCCGGCTCCGGACAGTCCAGGACAGGATTTATTAGCTACCAAAGTCATCTCACAGACCCCAACTCCCTCCCCCAGTCCACATTCCTCCAAAACCTTTCTATTTCTACAAAGAGACATAAACGCTTGCGCATACATCAATTCCTCCCATTTACCATTCTGCCGGCAGAACAAAATCAATTGTAAGATAGTATTATAATTAACACTTCCCTCCGGAGGCCAATGTTCTTGATCATCTAGCTGATAGCGTGGCCACGCAGTTTCACAGAAGAATTTAGCTTTCTTCCTAGTCATAGGATCTCCACCAAACTCTGCCCAATGTCCCAATGCACAAGAGAGGGGGGTACATTTCCTAACCTTACTGTTAATAGTACCCATCTCAGGGCTGCCTTCCCGGTCCTGACCGTCCGACTTACCTGGGATCCAGGGATCTGTTCTTAGTCCTCGTCCTCACAGGGGAAAAATCACTGGTCTTGGACTCGGGCCAGACAGAATACTTACAGAGATAATCCCAGGCAGGCGTGCTGACGGTAGGCCTTATGCCCTTTCTACCCTCTCACCCAGGTGCCTGTTACTGGTACTTTCACTCTATGGCTTTGCACCGTTAGGCTACTGCCGCCTCAGCAATCCAGCTCCCCCTGAAGCAAAAGTCTCACCGGGAAAAGAGATCCCGGGGCGCGCCTGACATTTGATAAGGAGGAGCTGTGTCTGGTCGTCAGCTAGTCCGGGCAAAGTTATCTAAGGCAGTCCCATCTGGGTCGCCAAAAACTGTTGAGCCCCAGCTCAAGTCTGGGATCGTGCCCGGTATGCAAAAGCCAATAAAGATACCAGGGGTGAAAGTATAAAGATTTATTGCTAGCAATACAAGGTGCAAGCGGAATAATTTCACGTAACAAGCACACAGATTCTTAATTCTAAGCATCTTTTACACAGGAGTATTGGACCTTCATAAGCATTCTTGTTTGCTAATTGGTTATAAGGGAGTGACGCAAGGAGTTCTTTACTGAGCATGTCTCTATACCTGTGTTTTAGCTATGTATCTCATTTCCATACATGTATGTTTCATTAGCATACTTTCTCCCCACCTAGGGGTGTGAATCTTAATATTTAAATCAGCTCTTTGCCCTAGTCCACTGATTCTGCTTTTGTTTTCAAGCCTCCTTTATCTAAGACTGTCTCCTCCTTATCATTGCAGATGGGCATTAGTTACATAACAGAGGCTTTTGCTTGGGCTATGTGTAGTGGTTTCTAGGTCAAACCTGACACCTGCATGAGAAGAGTTCCCTACCCAGCCTGGAGCTCTTTGGGACCTGCCCCAGATTGGTACAGTTCCCATCCAGCCCTAGGCTACATGGGAAAGTCTGCATGTGCAGCCCAGAGCTGGCTGGGAACTATCTTGTTTTGGGGTAGGTTCCAGCCAGCTCTGGCCTGCACGTGCAGACTTCCCCATGCAGTTCAGAGCTAGCTAAGAACTGTCCCTGTCTGGGCTAGATCCTAGCCCCACAACTGTTTCTCAGCTCTATATCCCAATCAAGTGATCAAAGCATAGGCCTTGGAAGTGGCTGTGAGGGAGAGGCAGGTCCCAGCCCCTTACCCTGGTCTGCTGGTGGAAAAAATAGCATCAAGCCACCAGCTAGGTGGGGATTCTGTTCTGTACCTATTAAAAAAAAAATGGGAAACAAATGAGTTGACTCAACAAGCTTAAAAAAGTTTTAAAGGTTTGTTTATCAATTTAAAATCACTAAGGGGGATGTAATTTGATATGTCACACAATCAAGGCTTAAATCCAAAGTGATTAAAAGCACATTTTCAGATCATCACGTACCAAATGGAGAGGGTAGGGCATTTACCAGTGAGTAATCCCCTAAGAAATATGAGTAAAATAAAAGGTAATTAGTACTACTCAAGCACCCAGGCAGAGGGGTTATTTTATGGACCCCAGAAGCTTAGCACTTGTGCTTCAGCCACTGGGTATTACTATGGACATTACTAATAAACCAGACATTTCCAGTAAAAGATATTCTGAATCTGAAATCCCTCTTGCTAGCAAGTAGGGAATCCTTTAGAAGATCAGTGCTGCTGGCTGTAGTTGTCTGATGTTGAGCTGCTGGAACACACTGCTCACTCAACTGACACCAAGGGAGAAAGCAGGGCAGTTCAAACAATGCTGCCTTTTATGCAGTTTTTCTATCCCTCCCCCAGAGCACTGGGATTGGAAAGGACCTCAGGGAAGAACGACAGTCATTGGCCAACTACACAGTCAATAATGGGAGTACTCCTTCCTCCCACTTCCCTCCTCTTCCCCCTCCCTCTCTCTACTTTAGTTTCTGTTTCCCTGCAGGCAAGCCCAGCTTGAGCTTCAAAACTTGAAACATTTTGAAATTTTTTAAACATTTCAACTTGCCCCATTTCATTTCAAGGCTGTTTCAAAGATCTCTGTTTCATTTCAATTTCACTGTTATGAGCTCAATATGAGTTGAAGCAGTATTGAAACAACACTGCCAGCAAAATTTTGCACAGCCCTACTGAATATGATCCCATTATTTCCAAATCTCAATATATTTTTCTTCTTGGTGGAGTAACTCTGAAACCTACTGACAGATAACATACTTTTTCAACCATCTCTAGTGGCAAAACCTGCTGCTTTTATCAGTTACTCTATTTCTCTATTTCAGCAGTTCTCAAGCAGGGCTCTGCAGTGCCTTGAGATTCAGTTAATGTTCAGCTGCATATTCATGCCAATACGATATATATATATATATATATATATATATATATATATATATATATATCTCGCATCCCTAATATATCCCTATTGTACCATCATCCCAGTTCCTGGCTCTGTCCCAGGCTGGTACGTAAGTAGCATAAGCACTCTCTCACCCATTGCCAATGATGGGCAAAAAGGTCAGTCCTCTGTCCGGGTAACACAAAAGCACCATCTACCTTGCCAGGCCCAAGGGATGTATTGTGTGGAGACAGTGATAACCTCTGGAGAATTGGATGGGTTTCTCTTTTGCTGCCTATACTAATTATGTGAGGGAGTGTTAGGGTAATGATATGGATTTTGGGTGTTGAGGTAATGATCCAGATTTTGGGGAGTGCTGTGTGTGCAGCTGAATGTGATGTATTACAGGGCTTGCTAGCACTGCCCTGAGCTCATCTGCCTACAGGTGGCAACAAGGTGGACCTTGGCTCTGGATCACCTGGACTGCCAGGAAGTGGATCTTATGTTTTCTCTCCTGCCACGACTTTGATAACATATATATTCCTGGGAGGTACTGCCCACAGTGATCCTGCCTGGCCTTGATCCCTGTTTCTTCTGTGGGGCTCCAAAACTTCCCCTTTACCCCAGCCTAACCTCTCCAGATGGTGTTCACAATATTCTTCTGCATCCAGGTCACAGTGCTGCCTGTTGTGGCCTTATTTTTGGCTCCACTACCCCAAGGTGTCCTTGGGCCTCTTTTAGGTACACCCTTCCAGGGTCTGGTCTTGGTCTGTGCTCAAGGAAATCAAAAGAAACAGCAAAAAAACACAGAAAACCCTGGCTGCTTCTCAGCATTTTTGTCAGGCTCCGGCAATGTCCCTTTTACTTGTGATCAGGTGCTCAACATCCCAATCACCATAATTCAGACAAAAAAAACAACCCGTAGTCCATTCTTTGCTATGTGCTAGCCTACCCTGCAACCCTATGAACGTTCACAGTCTCTTTGGGGTCTCCCCCATGTGCAGGAAGGCTCTACCTGTAGCCTCCTCAGGTCTCCTCTGGATCCTCTATTGAAAAACTTCATTCCAGAGATTCTCTCAGGCCTTGTGGACTTCCTCACTCTAGATCCTCAGCTGCAGCTCCGCTCCAGAGATTACCACTGGTTGAGTATGTACAGGCCTCCTCCTGCCTCAGGGTCACTTCCACACCCTTCCTCAGGCACATTCTGCAGTTTCTGCCTGCTGAGATGCTCAGCAGCTCCTCTCTCCCTGTGGCCTGCAGGGAACTGATGCCCCTCTGCACCTCTCTGGGGCTGGAAATACCTTTGGGCAGCCTCCCTCCTCCAATCCTGAGCAAGAGGCTACTCTGGAAGTTGGGTGGGTATTTTCCTTCCTTTCTGGTATCCAGCCGCAGCCCTGCCAGCCCTCCATGTTGTGAGTTTTGTCTCACTCCTTCACACCGAATAAAAGTTTTTTTTTCTGTGGCTCAGCAAAAGCCACTGGTCACAAGGCTGGATGATATATTAAAAGCAACTAACTTAGCTAATGCTTAAGTAAGCAGATTCTTAACAAAAGAATAAGGTGCAAAGTGCATGAGGTGTTCAGTAAAAATAGAATAGCCCACCTACTAGTGTCAGGAGACAAAAGCAGAAATATGGCCTTGGAGATGGTGCTGAAGTCAGCAAGAAAACCAGCAAGAACCAGCGAGAAACTGCAAATGACCGAAAGAAGATGGGGGTCAAAGTCTTATGCATGTGCTCTTAGCACAGAGGCATGTAAATGAATGAAATGCATAGGCAATACCATGCTAAGGAAGCAAACAGTAGACAGAGGTACAGCTTGAGATGGGAGGAGAAATGGGTGGAACCAAAGGAGGGACATAGGTGGGGTGAATGTTAATATGTATGAACCAAGGTGTATAAAATGTGAAAAGAGATAATGTTCAATGCAGGTCCCCAGTTTGTTGTTTTTTGGGACCTTTGCCTGAAGCTGTCTCCATTCAGAATAAAGCTGTTGCAAGCAATGTGTGCTGGTGTTTGCTCCCTGCTTGCTTTCACTAATGGGTACCAGGATCCATGAGCAATTGGACTGTCGTCTCCCTAGGCGTTGGGTGCCTCATGGAGTCAGGGTCTAACAGTTAATACTTTAGATAACTTTAAATCATTGTACCTGACTACCCCATCTGTTAAGTAGATACATAACTACGTATTGTCACAGACATGTTGCCTCAATTCATAGATTCATAGATGTTAGGGTCGGAAGGGACCTCAATAGATCATCGAGTCCGTCCCCCTGCATAGGCAGGAAAGAGGGCTGGGGC